TGGGATCGATTCATGACAAAGTTACTGTTCACACATCTTTTGCCAAATCACTGCTGATATTCTGGACAGAAGTTGATTACTACATGTTAACATTCACGTTCTTTTGTACGAATTCTATCGACATTTTAAACGTTTACAATCTAGTTATAATTTAACTAATTAGATAACATTAGAATCCATTGAAGATTCGCCAGCGGAATCTAGCAAGGTTTGTATCAGTACATTTTAATTGAGACCATGAGCTGATTGGTGTTAGACTGCCGTTGGAAACATTGAAGCTCTAGATGACCGTTTCGTCCTATTGTGGAGCTCCTAAGCAGTGCGCATCCACGATCCTGCTCGCTGGACTCGAACCCAATGCCTTCAGTCTCGCGCGCGAACTCCTAACCTACTGGACCACTGAGCCGGCATCCAATGGTGTTAGTGTCTAACATCAACCAATCCTTCGGTACTTTTTACTTCAATCTTAATATAGATGTTCATTAGTCTCTTGAATGATGTTAGCTATCGACTCTTTCGATAGATACGTTAGTTCATATTAAATAGATATTGTTAATCAGTAGATCAGTGTTGGTTGTCTTTGAATTTGAACACATCTTCCGAAGTTAAATATGCAGTAGAAACATCCGCATTCACAATTAGGTTCTTTCAAATAACCAGTGTCAAAAATTATTCTTAATTCTTAAATAGTAATTTATCTAAAAAAATAAAATATGCGATTAATTGAATTCGATACAATCTCACAATATGAATATACTTTTACCCGTGTATAGTCGTTATCGATTTATGGTTAAATTGTTTACCGAAAAAAACACCCGTGCAGAATCATTTTGTCGATTGTGCCAAATAGCGTGCAAGAAAATTTCATTTTTCAAATTGTGAAAAACTACTTTGATTTTTGTAGATAAGCCTAATATTAAATACTCTTGACTACAACTTTCGTTTGTTTGCCAAAGAAACGTTTGTATTTTTCAATCATCTCAAGACACTTTGATAAGAAGAATAATATTTTGTAAATCACTCGACATGACAAAAGATTAAAGTACTCTCAGTATGTAATAAAGTCGACTGAAATACAGAGTCTACGATTGACTGATCACTTATTGAATAGCAATCAATGTGATGTACTGGTCAAATTCTATCGATCAAGTTGCAACGTGGCAACTAGACTATGTTACTTGACATCATGTTCACTACATCATCATAAGTGACGTTGAAATATAGTCGGCAAGATTAGACAAACATGATGTTGACTACTATTCAATAATCGATCAGCGTTTATAACACAGTCTTACAGAAGATCATTCTTCGATCTAATACCCCAATGATAATGGTGAGACCAGTTTATCAGTGTTCGGATTTACCAGGGAGCATTGGTTCCCTCCAAACTGCAGCTATGACATGCTGATGAGTGGCATTGAGTGAGAAACCTCGGTTCATGCATTCCAATCGACTATCTTCAATCATCTAAGGACTTCTACATTTAGAAGTGTATTTATCTCCCAATACAAAGAACAAGATGACATTCGTTTAGTAACACAATCAACTAGTAAATCATAGTTGGTAGGTTTTATTTAATCACAGACGAATCTCAATTGTTGTATCGTTGACGTTCTAGTGAGAAGTTTTAACTGGTGAACTTCAGACATTTAGAGACTGAAACAGTTCTGACCAACGGTACTGAATGATCTTCACTATACATATGAGGTCGAAAAGTACCACTGAATACCAACCCACTGGTTTTTACTGTTAGGCTTTCGTCACGAGACGTTGAAGATCCTGGATTCTAGCCCTGGAAGGTTGTGGGCGAATTCCAATGCTACCCCCCCACTTAATTCATTATAGAGGAATGTTAAGTCCAAAAATTTAAATTACCTGCATCTATCGGTCTAGTTTTCTGAAGTCCCTATTCAACTTTTGAAAATATGGAAGTCCACGTGTTCTATTAGTTGTGTTACAAATATGTAATAACAATACTCTGAACACCGCGGTATCAGACAATAGTGATATCCAAATACCTTGAAAGTGATTATTGAAGACAAACCATGAAGAAGGGAATGCAGTATATTTAAACGTGGGTGTAGAAGGGAAAATTAGTGACTTACAAGTTGTCTGTTTAGGAGGGAACAATGCTTGGTCAAGCACCTTCAAATAGCAGTCTCCAACTAAACTGACAAGGCGAGTATCAATGCAGAATGCCTTCAGAACTATTAAATTTGAAGAGTTATTTACCATTACAATTAAAATAGAGCCTAAGATTTACTATCAGTGGTCTTGACAAAAACAAAACACTGTTTATCTAACTACTTACTTACTTACGCCTGTTACCCATCATGGTGAAGCATAGGCCAACGTTACTTGTTCGTTACTGGGGTTTCATGCAGTAACAGGTTAATTAAAAGTCCTTTATTAAAACATCGAAGTATTGATGAAATATAGTTGAAACAGATTCAAGTGGTGAAGTTTAAAGACACAATTTCAGTGACCTCACTGACATAATTAAGGCATTTATATATACATATATACGAATATCTTCATAAAGATGTGTGATTTATATGATCATCTACAATGGAAAATCGAAGTTTACATGACGAACTGACTTTAAACAATTTTTATAAACCAAGGAGTACCAGGCAAAAGTTTCATATTGGTAATAAATGTTTTAATAGTCAAATGCAATCAGTAGTAAAGTTTGGAAAAGTCATGGGTTAACCAAAGAATGAAACAATTCTAAAAAATTGAATTACACAATTCATGTACGATTACGTTTTATGGATTATTCATTTCAAACTCATGATGCCTCATTGTTAAATGTTTGTAAAGTAGCTTTCGATTCAAATTACAAACTTCTGCAGCTTGACAAGCCAACGTTCTTGGCTCGATTAATGCTATTTCAAAGATGCTTATCGGACAGAAATCAAAGTTTGTTCATATGTTCATTACTTGATTACTCAGTATTAAATAGTATCATGTTCATCTAGTCCCTAATGCTGGTAGAATTATATCAACTAAGCTGCAATTTAGTCACTAGTCTTGGTAACACATTATAGCATGCAATATGCCTTAATGTTAGTCACTCGTCATCGAGGACAAGAAAAACGCAGACGTCGTGCTAGCTAACACTCCCCACCAAACTCGTCCTTGTGGGAACTTGCGATCTTCGTGAGATCTGGACTAGTGTTATTCAAGGTCATAACTAGAAGTCTTTTCATAGAGCTATTCTGAAGATGACTGGAATCCAATGGAACAACAAGACTTAGGCTACATGCTAATCAACGGAATCTAAACAGTTTTAAAGACTAAACAAACATAACATTAGTTATTACACATTGATCGATCAATACAAATGTCTCAGTCCTTCACGTGATCGTAATTCTAGTACTATTATATATTTAGACACATAAACATTGATATGAAGGGAAACCGATTTTTATACGTGGTACACAAATCAATGAATTTGTGGGTGGGCTGGGATCCCGTCCGGGTGCTCGAACAGAAACAGGTGGTTTTCCAAGAGATCCACTTTTGAGGCCATTAACCTAGAGGTATAATCTAAAAGACAATGTAGCAGCGTTAAAAGATGCAATCACGTGGAAGCCGTTGATCGAGAATAGGATATACTCAATTTCTTCTCTCAGGATTGTGGAGCCAATGTGAACCATTCGTTTAGAATCACGGTTTCCTAAATCCCTCAAGTGAATCCACCCTACCCACCAACGCAGTTCAAGTGCTGAATATTTGGTTTTCATCCTTTCAACTTCGTAAGCAACACCCCCTCCATGAGGAGGAGGTGAGTAGGGTGTCCCTAAGAGTGGGTATAGATGCATGGCCATATGAAAGCATTTAGATAGAGAGCTCTTCTCACCCTCCTTCTTGGCCGTATTAAGTCATTTTGTGACTAGAAACTAAGTGATGACGTTACTGGCAGTCAATCGAGATGATTAGGTTTCCAATCTTACGAGACCAATTAGTTCACATTAAAATGAGCCATGTTAAACAATCTCATCTAACATGAAATGTTAGTCTGCACTGAGTTTCTGACACTTTGACTTCATCCACTTGGTATTAAACTATACGTTATTTATAGAGTTATAATTAATACTGAAATTTCGGTTGACTCAATAAAATACCCGAAACTATTCGTAATTCGACAGTTTAACCTGTCAAATCGAGAAGACAATTTGAATATGGTTAAGATCATGAGTAAGTTGAAGCTAGATAACCATGGAAAACTTGGATGCACTGGACGGCCGTTTCGTCCTGTTGTGGTACTCCTCAGCAGTACGCGTCCACGACCTCGACCCCTGCGAGATTCGAACCCAGGACCTACTGGTTTCACGCGCGAGCACTTAACCACCAGACCACTGAGCTGATCGGCATCCAACGGTGTTAATGTCTAACTTCAACTAATCCACGAAATTGAGCGACACATTCATCATTGTCTTCAGTGAGTTACTATCTCACAACAGACCTGGTTGAAGTACACTGGTCAATTGTTGACTAACTAGGAATACTCGTCCAATTTTTGTTCGACTTTCAGTGTTAGTAATTGGTTTGGCTTCATCATCTTGTAACTAGATTTTATTCACCATGGAAGAGCAATAATTTCGGATTATCTTCTATGCTACTAATATCAATTTTTACATTCCATTTTGTGCTTTTTTTATATAAAAAAAAAATAAAAAACCTGTGCTTCAAAAGTAAAATGTAACACTTATGGTTTTATATCACACACACACACACACACACAAAAGTTACAGTACCTAAACAAATTAGTTTACAATTTGTGTTTAAAATGTCAAATATCAGTATGTTCTTTTATCTACCATTAGTACTACGTTACATAATTATAGATACACTAGCGTACACATACACACACAAGGAAACAAACTTTTGATTGGATTAACATCATTACTATAAATGGTCAATAGCTTCTCATACTTGTATTGTAGTTAAGTGAATTAAATTAACTTCTATTGGTTCATATATACTTTTTTTTTAAAATATTAATACAACTACTCTCTGTTTCGGCCATTAAAAGCATCATCAGTAATCATAATAAGATTATCATTAATGTTAATAACAATAACTCAATGCAATACCCATACCCTTTATTAATAAGTGACACTTAGCAACAATGATAGAAGTCTATTGAATTTTAAAAAATTTTTTCCCCTAATCAATTTTCACGATAATAAACAACATCAACTTTTAATCATTAATTTTATTACTATGTACAATGTTCTTTTATTTTTCTTCAATATTACTGATATTATAATGTTGATGATTTCATGTGACTAATTGAATGAAGTGTCACATGGAAATCTATTGACTTTTGCACTACATCGAATACATATCTCTATATATGTAATACGTATAAATAAGTGATAAGTTAATTGATTTACTGGAATATAGAAACACAAACACAAATGATGTGAATAAACACATCATTTTAAAAAACCAGATAGGTTGGATTTCATTTTGTGTATGTGGTGTGTGTGTGTGTGAGTGTGTTGTTATTGTTGTTATGTGTAGTGTGTGTACTTGCACTTTGCACTTATGAGTAAAGTTTAATCAGACTTTATTTCTAAAGAAAAAAAAGAGAAACAACCGACTAGATTCAGAGAGAGAGAGAGAAACAGAAAGAGAGCAAGACCAAATTCGCTAAGAGACAATTTTTATTTGTAATTTCATTGTTGGCTGAGTTGGTTCCAATATTCATAACACATGTGTGCAAAACACGTATGAATCTACAACATACACATATATATATACACCTACAGATTGAACACATTCGTCGAATTTGTCTCTATTAATCTATCACACAGTGTTGTATATTTATCTAACACACACACACACACACTGAAACTAACATGTAAGCGTGCATATGCACTTACTTACATGACACAAGAAATCACAATATTATTATCATTAATAATACTCTTATTATAACCATTATTGTTATCATCACCATTACTCTGACATAGATTGGTCATATTCACAATAATTACCATTGGAGGAAATCAGGTCTACAAATTTTTACTGGTTTTTTTTTCAAAAACAAAAACGAAATGAACAAAATAGTTAAGAACTAATTGTCAAGGAAATCTATTTGTAAACAGAAATGGAATCTACCGAGGTCAATTGTTCAGAGAATTCGTCTGTTCAAGAAACTACAACAACTATTACGATTACATCTACTAGCACTGTAAATAATATAACTACTGATAAAACTACTGAAGATCATTATGATTATCATGACAATCAAACTGAAGTATTAACAAAGACAATTCATTCAGATATGTCTGATAGTAATGATTTACAATCAAGTATTAATACTCATGAAACCACTGCTTCAGAATCAAAGGTAGATGATCATGAAACAGAAAATCCACAGAATCATAACAAAACAAATGTAATAACTACTGGAATAATGATAATAAGAAATGAAACAATAAGTCCTCATATTGATACATCCAGTAATGAAGTGATTCCAATGAACACTGATGTTTCCATAGATGAGATTGAAATGAAACAAGACAAAACTCATAAGGAGATAAGTCAACAACTACAAGAAAACAATTTGGAAAATAATCAAGACATTAAAACAGAAGTTGAATTATCTTTAACAAAATATTCACCGGATATATCAACCCATAAATCATCGATTAGTAATCATTCATCAATAAATCAATCAACTGAACATTATATTACAACACAAGAGGAATCACATGTAAATAATGATAAAGATGATGATAGAAATAGTCCGAAACATCCATATCGACCACCTCCACCAAAAGTTAATCAAACTAAACATACATCAGTATCTCTTTCATATAGTGGAGAAGAAAATGATGATGTAATAAGTAAAAATGACAAATTAAACGACAATTCACAGATAGATACTACTACTACTAATAATAATAATTATGAAACTAATGTGAAGACATCATTAAAACAACAGCAGAATGAAAATGATGTCGACCAGCATAAACCTCAATATAAACGTCCAACAATCAAATCAAATATTAAACATGTATTTACTAATCTGAGAAAAAGTTTTAAACGTAAAGATAAACCATCAATCAAACGTGTAGTTAATGATCATGATAATGTTGAGCACAATCATACATACACTAGTCAACAATCAATGACAACACATGCATACAATAATAATAATAATAATAACGATTATATTGATCATAGAAATAAACAGTCAAATTTTCCTTCAAGTTCATCTTCTCATCAGGAATATCATCACCAGTATTATCGAAATTCCAATGAAATACAAGAAAATCAATCACAATTATCCAATGCACAATCATTGAATATCGTAAGTTTGAAATATTTTGATGTAGAGATAGAGAAAGAAAGACTAGCGTTTACATGATATATATATAAACTTGTATTATTCAAGTTATGAGGTGAGACCATTTAAGGGGGAATTTTTCCACTTTTCAGCTTGAAAATACATTTACTGTAGTTCGTATTTATAACTACATGATGTATTGAATTCGTGGTAGGTCTGACAAATTCAGACAATGGAAGTGCTGGGCATTTTTCAATTATTTTATTTTCGTTCATAGTATAACTTAATGCTTCGTTGTTTGAAGAGAATGGTCAAACTTCCAAATTTCTTTATTTCATACTATATAGTATCCCGTTTTAGAATTTCAATGTGTCCATCTTAATCATCGATTATTCAATGAGTAGTGATCAATTTCATGCTTATTTAATCCTTTAGTGATAACCGAATTCTGTCGATCAAATCGTAATGTGGATACTAGGTTAAACGAAATGACACCATATCGAGCTATTAGACGATTGAAGAGAATCGGTGTTAAACCGTGGGCCTAGGTGTCGTTCATGGTGGAACTCTTCCGTATGGAGGACCTGAAATCTTAACGAAATGATGTTCTCTATTGAATTTATGCCTGTGTTTGCAGGCTTCATGGTCTTACATAGTGACATTGAGTTTACAGTTGCCTTACTAGTTTTAATGATCTGATTTTTGAAAAGACGGAATTCGGATTCCATTTCACATGTAATCAATGATCACTCTTGAAAATATTTTCACTTTTCATTCGAAGAAATGTTAATTAATCTTCCGTTTTGTTCATTATCAAAGAAGAAAGTATTGTCAATATTGAGCAATTTTTCTCTCGTAAAACTTCTATGTAATAAGAATTAGTGACCTTAGCAATACTAACAACTATCTTTCTTCATTACTGAATTACATTGATTTAAATTTTACATTCCGTAAATACTACTTTATTTCAATAATTATAAGAGTCTAGTTTGTCTGAAAATTATTGATTATATGAAATGTTTTATTTACATTGATTGATCACCTAGTGCAGATCAATTTTACATTGTCTTAATAACAATTTGGGCTAATCCATTTCTAAAGATTGAAATTACAATGTAACTTGATTGTGAACTACTTCGATTAATGAGTATATATTTCAAAACTTGTTTAATAGAATTTAATAGTTGAGATCATGAGTCAATTGAAGCTAGACCACAATAGAAAAACTGAAAGCATTGGACGGCCGTTTCTTTTTACTGTTGGACCCCTCGGGAGGTTTTTCGTGGAGTTCAAGTGGGAGTCGGTGATCACGATCTCCACGATCTCGAACCCAGGACTTACCAGTCTCGCACATGAGCGCTTAACCATTAGACCACTGAGCCGGCATCCAACGGTTAGAATTACTACTATTGAATTACTATTATTAAAATTGCTATAATATCCACAAAACCCTTCTAATATGAATCAGAATATACTCACTAGTGACTGGCTTCAAGAGGTATTTCCTGGAGTTCTAGTGAGAAGTAGTGACCAGTGGAGTTCAACCGGGTCTGTTGTGAGATAGTAACTCACTGAAGACATTGGTGGGCGTGTGGCTCGATTTCGTGGATTAGTTGGAGTTAGACATCAACATCGTTGGATGCCGATCGGCTCAGTGACCTTGTTGTTAAGTGCTCGCGCGTGGAACCAGTAGGTCGTCGGTCCAGATCTCGCAGGGGGTGGGGTCGTGGATGCGCACTGCTAAGGAGTCCCACAATGGGACGAAACGGCCGTCCAGTGCATCCAGATTTTCCATGGTTATCTAGCTTCAACTGACTCATGATCTTAACCATTGAGATTATTTATCTGTTAGTAAAAGTAAGGTAGATCTTTCGTTTTTTTATTGATAGGGGGGTGCTTAGTTCTCCTTCTCTCTTTCTCTTTCTCTCTCTCTTAAAACAAACAATCCAAAGTTCTGTTGAAGGGTGGAATAGATTTTTCACACTGAAATTAACGTTGACTTAATTACCAAATACGATTTTTTAAACATTGCATTGAGTTATATGTGATTCTAACTATATTTACATCTAAAGAATGATCTTTGAAGTTTGTAATAAATTGACGATACTTATTTAGATGAACAGCCAATTTAGTCAATTCAGTTAAAAGACAATTCTCATCAATATGTTTTGATAAACAGTAGTAACCAAAGGGTACTAAATTCTCATTCTATGCTTATTCTAGACTGAATTCAGATACCCACTACCTTATACTGATTAGAGTCGAAGTCTTGAGTATTTCACAGCAAATAGGATATTTATAAAAAAACACTTAGTTGATACCAGATGATTAAGCATTCTTTACATTCTCAGTAGTTTTTTTAAAATGGAAGCTAATTGATAATGAAGTTAATTGTTTCTAATGTATGCACAGATCATAGCAAGATTTTTCAATGCATTTTGCATTTCACTATAGTTTAGTATCAATAATACATATATAACATTGTGTACTCAAGTATTGTTTTGTTTCGTTTCATTACATAGAAAAAACCTTCGTCCATCATCTTTACCTTCTTCTCATTAAGTCAATCTATGTCAATCTTTGATGCCCTTTAATTATAGCACAAAATATTGATTGAAGACAACTGAATTGAATGTGTTATATCACTGAATATCTGTAGTTAACCATTTGTAGACTATTCGACTTTAACTTATTGCAAGCAGTGATAGTTTGGGATTTGATCTTTAGACAGCTCATCATTCATTGTTAATCCCATACTAGATGGAGTCAGTGATATAATTCTATATGGTCACCCAATGGTTATCTAACCGGAAAAAGCTATGTTGTAGACTTTCTCGAATCACTAATCAACTAAAATGTAAATCAGTCAGTCAGTCAGTAACAACATAGAACTTCGTAAGTACGTACATAAGTTCGAGTTACCATAACACATTAGAACAGAGATGCAGTTATCGATTCAAATCTAATAGTGGTAGAGGTAGTAAGAGTTTAAGCAGTAATCGGAAAGTTCAGGGTTTGAAGATGTTATTCAAGGAGTATAATCCAGTGAAATAAATTTGGAAAGAGAAAGAAAATGGGACATGAAGAATTCAGAAGATTAGAATTAGGGAGAACACAAAGAGCAAACGCACATGTGCCACTGCAAACGATTTTCAGCCATGTAATTCAAGGTCTCTAACCATTGGTTGCTATCGTCTCACAAATCACAACCAGGTAGTCTACGTCTACCAACATGGCTCAGTCCACTTGTCAGTGACTTCAAGGATTTGTGCCATGTTTTGGTCCGGCCACCCCTAGCTTTCTTCTAACCTACTCCTACACCATAAAACATCGCACGTCGGGGCAGTGGGTGGTTTGGCATACGTAACATGTGTTCCAGTCATCTCAACTGATAAAGTTTCACTACTTCATCAATTGATTTGCCATCCTTACCTAGTACCCGTTTCCCAACAACTGCATTACTTACTCGGTGGTCCCAAGATGTACGAGCAATGCTTCAAAGACACCCGTGATCGAATACTAGTAACCCACGAATATCCTCTACTCTTACCGGCCATGTTTCACTGCCATAAGGTAAGACGGAATGAACTGCTGCCCACTAAACTCGTCCTTTGTCTGGTAGATGGATATCTCACCTAAACTAGAATGTAGATGCACAAATCATCATATTAATACTTAAATAACTGAAATAGTACCGTTTTTTAGAATGATTGGTATGCAATTAAATCAGGATTCAAGAGGTATTTTTTTACAACACTCGGAAACAGGTACATCTCGCTGACCAGTCTAACACTGAACGAAACCCTTACCCCTGTATTCCACTTGTAATCAAATTCCAAGCAAACTGTAGAGAGACTAAATTTCTTAGATTCCTTTTTTTCAATTGTATGGTAATCAACTTTTAATTATTCAATGAATTAGGTACAAACAGCTTGTAGTTTGTTAGGAATGACTTCAATCTGAATATTATCATTAATTCTGTTATTCAGCATAGAAACTTGAACAGAATTCGTATAGACATGGCTTAGTATTTGGAACTTATCAAAATCATCTTGTATAATCATATTATCACTGTACATCACTTAGTTGTAATCTAAAGTATAATATTCACTAAGGGTAAATTTGACTTTATCAAGAATGATCATCAACGATTTGTTTTGCATTGGCTGTATAAGTTGCTTAACAATGAATAGATTTATAAATATAGGGATATCACATAGAAGGTAATCTTTTCTCATTTACCCTAAAGAAAATTACAATCTAAAAAACATTATTCGATATATCAGAAGAACTGGAATTACAAACTGGATCGTCCATCAGCTTATCATTCTCGTTCTATCCAATATATCCGATAGTCTTTAAACTTCATTTCCCTAATTGATGCCATAGATATAACAAAACGAAAAGAGTTAGTTGACGATTAAATAAATGAGACAATTAATGAATCAGAAGGGGTTTTGTGGATATTGTAGTAATTTTAGTAGTTGAGATCATGACACAATTAAAGCTGGATCACCATGGAAAACCTGTAAGCACTGTAGGGCTGTTTCGTCCTATTGTGGGACTCCTCAGCAGTGCGCATCCACGATCCTGCCTCGCGAGATTCGAGCCCAGGTTTTATCGGTCTCGTGATCGAACGCTTAAACTGTAGACCACTGAGCCGATCGGCATCCAACAGTGTTATTGTCGAACTTCAACTAATTTATTACTTATATTAAAACTGATTATGTAAATATAAGAATAACATTGTAAATATAGTGTTACTGAGGTAATTTAATATGGTAAATGAATAAAGTCAATAGAAGAGGTCATAGAAATTGAAATATCAATATATTGAGTAAATAATTCATTTTAAGACAACTGACATTAAAACCACTTAGAAACTTTTTTAACTTGGTCTAACCGATAACTTTTGAGGGTATCACCATGATTATAATCAATGGACAAATTATCTGCTTCTACATTCATCTTAAATTTATTATATAATTTACTTGAACAAAGAAACCTTGGTACAAAGGGGCACC